CGATGACCTCCTTAGGATCTCTGGGCTGGGAATGCTGGAAGGGCAACACGCCCCCCCACCCCCACCCCGGGAGGACCTCCTCCTGGCTCTGGGGGAGGAAGGAAGGCAAGCGGGCAGGAAGCCCCACCGGGCCAAGCCTTGGCCTCTTTTTGGCCACCAGCCCGTCTGGTTCCTCCTGAAGAACCAGGCCTGGTTCTCCTCCCAGGGTGGTGGCCCCTGAAACCAGTCTTTCTCCAACTGCCTCTCCTGTGGCACCCAAGAGTGCCAAAGCTAGCAGCATCCTTCTTTCCTTCCTTCCTTCCTTCCATCCGTCGATCAGCTTCCTCCCTCCCTCTCTCCCTGCCTCCCTGCCTCTCTCCCAGTAGAGCAGCCCCACCTCAGTGCCTTCTAAGCAAGGGGTCTCTGCTCAGGTTTGAGCCCCGGCTCAGCTTCCGAAAAGGGAAGCCAGACTGGGGGCAGCAGATCCCTCCAGGCTGGCGGTCACGCGTCCCTTGTGGATACCGGCAGAAGCATGTGACTGGCCTCAATTCCCAGTAGATTTCCTTAAACCTCCGGGTCTCAAGAACGTCAAATCTTTAGGAGTGGAATGTTTCTGAGGGGCCCGTGAGTTGCAGGCAGGCGTAGGTGCCTCTTTTCACGTGGCTGGAGCAGCTTCCAGGCTGAACTGGCGCCAGGAGCCAGCCTTCCTTTTTCGCCCAAACCCACGGGTGGTGCAGAAGACCTTTCCTGGCCATGGAGCCCTCCGGCGAGGGGCTCGGCTCCCCCACGGCACCCTCGGACCCTGAAGAAGCCCCTCAGGAGCTGGTGGCCGTCTCCTTGCTGGACGTGGAGGACGCCGCCCAGCTCCGCAGCCGGTCCACAAGCCTGAGCAGCACCAGCTCCAGTGGCCGCCTGCACCTGCGGCAGAGAGTGGCCCAGCTCATGGCCTGCGTGGAGGACGTCAGCTCGGACGATGAGATCCACGAGGAAGTCTTGCGCACGCTGGACGAGGCCTTTCTGATCTGTGGGAAGAAGCAGAGGGAGAGGGGCCAGAGCATCAGGTGCCCTTCCCTCCATGGGGCTATGGCAGCATCAAAGCAGTTTTAGGGCAGTTTGGGCGGGGCGGGGTGGGGAGAGTGTGTGTCCGTGGACTGCGCTGAAGAGCAGCGGGCTCCTCCCGTCTGTGTGTTTCAGCGGCGCTTCCTTTTTTGTGTGTTTGAAGGCTGCACGTGGTCACCTGGAACGTCGGCACTGCTTCCCCGCCTCCCGAGGTCACCTCTCTTCTCCAGCTCAACTCACAAGACCAGGCCGTGGACTTGTATGTCATTGGGTAGGTCTCTGAGGAGCGTGATTTGGGCTTCCTCATTCTTTTTGGGATAGTAATTCCAAAAGTAGTTTCTGTTCATTGCAGGCTTGCCAGGGGGTCCCTTCCTGGTAAAGCCATCAGCAAAAGTAAGGAGGCTGTTCGTAGCATTCACAAGCACTAGGCTACTTGGACCTTTTTGCAAAAATATCCTTCCCACCCACCTTGGATGTCGGAGATGCGCAGCAGCTTTAGGTGGAGCTGGTGATCAGGGCCAAGTGTCCAGGCCTGTAAATGAGGCAGCTCTTTGAAGGGAGGATTCGGGATTGTGTGGCCTTCAGGAATTCCTGCATGCAGGGACCTTTAAAGCATAGCTGTTGGCAGAATCAGGTCACCCTTCATTCCCAGCCTGTGCCTTTCTTGGCTTCTGCCACTGGAGTGTGCAAGTACAGCTGGTCATTGACCTGGTCAATGTTTCAGCTGTGAAAAGGAGCAGCTTGACTGCTAGAGGGGCTTTTTTAGTTCTTTTAGTTAAATCAGAGTTGCTTGTAAATTTGTTGGGTTGGTTCTCATCAGAATGAGTCGCTAGACCTTGTAATGTTCAGTTTGCAGGAGGTGAACTCCAAAATCGTGAATTTCCTGTCAGACATGGCTTTTGATGATCCGTGGAGTCTTTTCTTCATGAGCGTCCTCTCTCCTCTCAGCTATGTCAAGGTAATCATCTGGTTTTCTACTGGTAGTTTGTGACTTGCTTCTGGAGCTTCTTAGAAACCTTGTTCCCTGCTCTGCATTTTGGGCAACTTGATGAGGAGTCTGAGATGGAAACTACTTGCTTCTCATGCGATGGCCTCCATGATGGGCTCGGGCCTTGCCTCCTTCCGGCCAGGGTGCAAGCAGATCCCTGAGGTTTCCTGCCCGTGCCTTAGAGGCTTCAATTTGTACAGAAAGACAGAGCGAGAAACATTTCCCATAGCTCTCCACTTCCTCTGGGAACCTGCCTGATGAGAAGAATTTCCAGAAGACCCTCTTGTTCAGTCTAGTCTGGGATTTTCTGAGCTTTGAATGGAATTGTAGAGTCGGAAGAAACCTCCTGGAGTCCAGCCCTCTGTCCCAGCAGGAAGTGCCCGGCTGAGGCATCCCTGTGTTTTAAATACCTCCTGCAAAGGTGATTCCACCACTTCCTTGGATAACCTGCTCCTCTTTATGAGCCTAAAACCCCTTCGTCACAAAGGGAGATGTTAAGAGGGTGGCCATCGTGGTGGGTTGCAGGGCTGCTCCTCAGAACAGGCAGACAGACAGGCTGACTGACTAGTTCTCTCTTGCCCTTACCTGGACACCCTGAACGGCCGTCTCCGCAGCCTGAGGGTTAGCTGGGTCCTGACTGGAGCTGCTCCTGTCAGCCCTTTGCGAAGGAGAAATGTGCAGGGGAAGCAGAGCTGCTTAGTGGACTGGCTCTGCTTCCATTCATCTCACACCTTTTCCAGGACTGAGAGAGAGAGAGAGTTAGTTTTCCTGGTCCTGGACTTTGTGTTATTTGGAGCCTCCTGCACACTCTATACCATTCCTGTAACCCCCTGAGCCAGGCTCCTTTTCCCAGGTCATCTGGAACTTCCTGAGATGCCCGTCGGGAGAAAGAAGCACAAGGAAGAGATTGCCTCCAGGTTGGGTTTAATGTTTCTACCTCTGCTATTATTTTGCAGGTGTCTTCGATCCGAATGCAGGGCCTCCTCCTCCTGGTTTTTGCAAAGCAAGCCCACCTTCCCTTTATACGGGACATCCGAAGCCAGTTCACCCGCACAGGCCTCTATGGATACTGGGTGAGTTGCTGAAGTCTCTCCGTGGAACCTTTTTTGGCCTGTCTAAAAGCTTCCTCTTTCACTTCCGTGGTATTTTTAAGTTGATTATCTTCATGTGTAGCTATCTGTTAAGAAAATGTGCGAACAGTTCCTGGCAAAGTTTCCTGCCACATGGGGTCGGAAGGGCTCACAGCCCTCAGCTTCTTGTTGCCTTACAGGGAAACAAAGGGGGCGTCACCATCCGCATGTCTCTCTACGGGCATTCTGTCTGCTTCCTGAATTGCCACTTGCCAGCTCACATGGAGTACGCAGAGCAGCGGCTGGATGACTTTGAGCACATTCTAGAAATGCAGCAGTTCGAGGGCGAGAAGATCCCGGGGATCCTGGATCACGAGTGAGTGGCCCAGGGCAACTGTGCCACCGGTGCTTCTGGCAGAATTAGGGCTGGGGGTGGGCAGGAAGGACCATCCCCTCTTTCCTGGGGAACTTGTAATGGTTGAGGGGGGCCCCTCCCTCGGGGAGAGCCTTTTGCCCACGCCTGCAGGGCTCTGAAATGCAGCCTCTATTCAGGAGGCCACAGAAGCCCCTAAGAGGTAATATTCCGGTAGAGAGGAGGGCCTGAAGCAGATCCGCAGTCGCTCGCAGTCCTTGCATGAGCAACCTGCTGGTGCTCAGGTGGAAAGGCGCATTCCTCTTATTAGGCAGGGCAGCGTCAGTCCAGAAGCCACCTTCACCACAGACTCCAGGGGCTGATCTGGCTTGTTTCTTTAAAATGGAAATCTTAACACCAGAAGAAGCTTTCGAAGGAGGAGGACTTATTTTTTCATTGGGCTCTTTAAAGAAAGTACTCCCCGCTCCCTTTAAAGCAACTTGATCACAAAGTGTGCAGAGAGATCCAGATTCATGTTGTGAATTTATGATTTCGGTAACTGGGTTTTCCTGTTCTTTTTGAACCGTTTCTTAACTACTATTTCTTCCCTCTCTTTTTTTAAAAAAGTGTTCTGTTCTGGTTTGGTGATTTAAACTTCCGGATCGAAGACTACGGACTGCATTTTATCCGGGAGTCCATAAACAAGAGCCGTTTCAGTCTCCTGTGGGAAAAAGACCAGGTACTGCCTCTTGTTTCCATTCTCCTGGTTCTCGTGGAGAGGTTGAGGGCTCCTCAGCCGACAGATCCTCTTGCAGGGCTATTCCACTTCCAGGAAGGGGCCTGAAGGTCTCCTCTTGTGAGGCAACTGAACTTCACAGTCTCATTGCCTCTTGGCTCCTCCGGAGCAAAGCCACCCCCTTGTGATCCTCTCTGTCTCCATCCTGCCGCTATATAAATCCCGGGCGGAGGCTGTGCCCTTTGGGTGTGGGTTCCTCAAGGTCGCTCCCTGGACGAGCCCTTGGCAACTCTAAACGGTGTCGGGTGTTTCCCCCCCCCCCCCCGTCCTTCTTCAGCTCAACATGGCCAAGAAGAAAGAAGCCTTCCTCCAGGAATTCTCGGAGGGGCCTCTGAAATTCAAACCCACCTACAAGTTTGACCTCTACTCCAACGAGTATGACACCAGGTAAACAAGGGAGAGGGAAGCCTCTGTGGTTGCTGCAGGGCAGGGGCTTTGCACTGGCCCAGAAGGAATATTCCAGGCCTCTGGAGGTGGGTGGGTGGGGAGGAGGGTCATGATTTCAGAGGGGAGGGCGGTTGAGCCGGCAGGCCGCCTTCCTGCCCTTTGAATAAAGTCATCCTTTGCTCATATTTCTCCCTTTAAGACTGCCGGTTATTTGCTTTTCCCTTGGATGGGCAGGGATTTTTGAGCTAACGCCTGTTTATATTTCCAGGGGCCAGAAGACATTCTTTTGGTTTAAGTAAGGAGATTCTCATATGCTTCTTTTCATGTGTTTAGAATCCTAAGCTATTAGAGCCTCCTTTTTAGGCAGATTTCAAGCTGTCACTGTTCTCTTAATCTTCTCCTCTCTAAGCCCAATCCTAATGTGATAATCAGGCTGCTGAGTTTGAAATAATGAAACTGCATGCAGTGCAGAGAGTTTCCAGCCCCAAGGAACCCACCAACCTTAACAGGGCTATAGGAAACGTGGCCCTTATGGCTTATTTCCGCTCCTAAAGGGTTGCTGGGTTAATGCCATCTTGTCTCTCTGCTGGGCCAGGAGAGGAAAATCTACTGTCCTCGGCTTCCACAGAGGACAGAGGGCTGGGCCGGCCTGACATTGGCTTGGCTGGCAGCTTGAGAGGCGCCTGTCGGCTTCTCTGGTGGCCTTGATGAATGGGATTGGCCCCTGTTTAGCTTAATCTCATCAAACCAATCCAGACCAAACTTCGGTTATATAAAGGAGAGAGCAGGTTGACTCGTCAGCTGCAAACAAGGCCTGCACAGCAAGAGTTTGGAGCTCCGTGGCCCGACACAGAGGCAGCCCCTTCAGGAAAATCCCCCTCTGGATGTGTCCTGGTCAAGGGCCAGGAAGGGGAGGGAGGCAGGAGGAGGAGGAGGAGGGGGGGCTGCTGCCTCCTTGCGGCCACTCAGCTTCTCCTGAGCACACAGCAGTGAGGGGGGTCCTTGGTGAATTGATCCCGGGCTCTACCAGGCTTGCGCTTCCTTGCTGCTGGTTAACGCTTCCTGTACAAAATCAATTAACCCCTCTGTCCCTCACCTCTCTTGTAGATTTGCTCTGTATGGGATTGAGCTGTAACGGGAAGGGGTGGGTGCATGGTTCCCCTGAAGTCTTGGCCTCCATGGTGTCTTTTGAGGAACGGCCGCCAGATGAAGGAAGGCTGGTCTGTTCTTGTTGCCCCCCCCGCTCCCTTTTCCCAGTGGGAAGAAGCGGAAGCCTGCCTGGACGGATCGCATCCTCTGGAGGGTGAAGCATCTTGTGCATCCGGCTTTGGGGGTAGGAGAAGTACCTGGGGAGCCCCCCATCTCTGCCTCCCTGCAAAGCTACACCAGCCACATGAGCTACGGCGTCAGCGACCATAAGCCTGTCACGGGGACCTTTGAACTGGAGGTGAGCATGAGCTGTAGATTCCTGGATATGGATTTAGAGATGAAAAGGGGCACCAGGCTCCTCCTGTCGGAAAGCAACAGGACAGCAAGAGCTAATTAGTTATTAGTGTCCATCCCGTTTCAATGGTTGGCAGCCACCCTGGGTCCCCTTTGGAGAGAAAGCTGGCCCATCAGTCACCAGTCACCCAACTGATCAATAAGCAAGCAAGCTCCTGCAGGCCTTCTGTCTGTGTGTTGTGAAGAGCTTTAACCCCAGGGAGCTTCTTCCGTTCAGATGAAGCGGCTGGTCTCCGATCCGCTGGTGGAGTTGCATCCTGTGGGCGACTGGAGTGCTGAGCGCGACGCCACCGTCGGTTACTCCACCGCGCCGGACTTTCCGAGCAGCGCCTGGGACTGGATTGCTCTCTACAAGGTAACCTTCAGCGTAGGAGGGTGCTGGGAGGTGGGGGTGCTGGTGCTTTGTCTGCAGAAGGTCATGGATTCCACCCGTGGGAGCTTTTCCGAGCAGGAGAAGGCGGGAGGAGAGCAGTTCTTTCTCTAGGGAGGAAACCCCTACCAGCAGCAGTCCCTTTGGCCTCCCTCCCTCCCTCTGGAGAAGGGTGGCCCTGTCCCCCTCCGGAGTTCCCAGACAGTGTCCACGTCCCATCAAGGTCTAACTTGCACGTCCTTTCTCACGAACCATTTGGGACACCCCCTGCAGCAGTTCAGCCTTCACTGCCCGCCTGCGGCTTGCCCAGCGCTCCTCCTAGCAAGCGCCTCAGAGGTCGTCCGGCTGTCTTCGCCCCGTGGTGACTTTTCTCTCTACTCCTCTTTGGCAGGTGACGTTTCGGCACCCAAACGACTACGTCATGTACGCCTGGGTGCAAGACAACGAAATTTCCTCCAGGGAGGATGCTAAGCAGGTGAGGGAGAAGGGCCATCCTGTGCCATGCTGGCCTGCTTTGTGTCAGAGGTGGTGGTGGAAGAGGGCCCACCTTTGGCTTTCTTATTCCCAGGTTTACCTTGGTGCTGAGGAGTTCCCTGTGGCTGGGGGAGAATTTCTCCTGGGCTATTACAGCAACACATTTCAGTCCATCGTGGGCCTCAGCCAGCCTTTCCAGGTAGGCCTCCTCTGGTCCTCGGTGGTCTTGTACACACCTGGAATATTTCTAGAGCCATCCAGGTTTTCCCTTCAGTTGGCTGCAAGGTTTCTTTCTGCACAATATGGAATTGGCTCCAGAAATCTCCCTGCTTCGGATGGGTTTTCACATTGGCTGAAAACCCTCTCGAGTGAGGATCCCGCTTCTGTGTAGGTCCTCTCCTAACAGGAGGGAAATCCTTGCTGATTCGTCTTGGGTTCCCCGGATCCCCGTTTAGTGGCACCTTAGCATCTCCTTCCACGCTTGGCACCATGTTCTCTTCTTCCTGGCTCATTTTGGCAGGGCAGAGTTTTTCTCAGTCAGCCGAGAACTGGCCTCTTGTGTAGGGCCTTCACTCTCTCTCCCCCTTCAGAAATCTTCTCCTTCCAGGTTCAGCCACACCGAACATCCACTGAGAAGGAGCTGTTCTGGGATGGAATTGGCGGGACTGAAAAACTTTGCCACGAGAAGCCACCGTGTGACTTTTGAAATGCACCACCGTCCCTGCCGTCAGGGCTTCCTCTGCCTTAGGCGTAGGCCTCTCTTTCTGGAGGAGGTGGCGGGATTTGTTGGCTCGCGGCCACAGGACTTTGAGCGGTTAAGAACATTGTTTTGTAGGAAATAAATGTCTCTACCACGGTTGCGAGGTTCCCTTCTCGCCCTGGAGAGTGCCAGAGCAAGGCTGGCCCTGATGACAACCCCTGACTTCACTGTAGCTGGAGAGGCTAGACTGTATTCCTGGGCCAGGGGGCCTTCCTCCTCCTGTCAGATGCTCCTTCCTCTTTCTAGGGAGTATTTTAGGAACCAGGCCTTTTAACTGCAATATTAAGTAGTGAGTGTTGGTTTTCCAGAAGTCAGTTTCTCCTTTTAATGAAATGCTAGCAGAACTGAGGTGGGTGCAGAAATTTGTATTATTTTATAGCAGAAGAGGGAACATGGCCAGCTGGTCCAGTTGGAAACAATCCTGGGGCAACCGAGGGGTGTTGTAGAGAGGAAATGGTGACTTGCACCTGCTTTTTCTCATAGCTGCCCAAGCCTCCTCTTTCCTGCCCTGTCGTGTGGCAGCTTTAATCCCCTGCAGCCTTCTTTATGGCCTGCCTTCTTCTCTTCCCCCTTTAATGCACTTAATACCACTTGCCATTTTCCCGGTGTAGATTCTTCAGGAAGAAACATGACGAGGCCCCCTCTTTCCTTCTGCCGCCTCCGTTCCTTCTGTCTGGCAATTCCTATAAAATAACCAAACTGTACTATTCAGCCATGCTGCCGTCTTTCTGGAGCCAGTCCTGGTTTTTGTGCTTTTTTGCTGTGACTGGCTCCACGGAGTGATGGCACTGAAAACTTTTGCTGAGCCAAAGAGATCCAGTTGTCTCTTTCATGCTGGTTTCTGTGTGCGGTCTTCCTTCCTGTATAAGATTCCATACCATCCCTTTGTGTAGACCCCAGTTGCATAAACCATTCCTACAAGTACGCCCAACTGAAGCTGCTGCAACATTGGACCTTCGGTTGAGGTCGCTGAAACCCTCCTTAG